AAAAAAAAAGCAGTGCACCCAAAAAGAGGAGCCAGGCCACTTGGAGCTCTGTTGCAGCTGCTGGCCAGGCTCTGCCTGCCAGGATCACCACAGCTGCAGCTCTGGGAGGCCCCCAGGACCCCAGGTAAGGTTGCTGGGGCCAGCACAGTGCTGGCCTCAGTCTCCCCTATGCCACCTGGGGCAACTTGCCACATGGCAAAGCGCATGTGGCATGGGCATTCCCTGGGGACAAGAAGTGGCGGCACAAGGTGAACTGTCCATGCCCATCTGGACGCATCCTGAGTGTCTCAAAGTGCCACTTCAGGCAAGGGTTAACTCTTGGTAATGCTATCTAGCTTGTGTTAGGGTAACTTCAGCCTGCTCCACAGAGATAAAACAAGCAATTTGAAGTCCTCCAGCATCCCAGGAACCACAACTCCCAGCTGTCCCCCCAGGTTTCCTCGCTTCTAACCACATCCTTACTCACCAGCTCTTTAATGGCAAGTCAGAGCTGTAAAGGCAAGGAATGATATGAACTCTTAAAGTGTGGCTGCTCACAGCACATCCTAACTTTGACACCGTTTAACATTTCACAGTTAGTATGGTCTAAATGAATAGTCAACTTCACCCCTATAGTTTCCAAACTTAGATATACCCCTGAAAACACCCAGCTGCCAAGGAAAGATGTTGGGGATGTAATATTGCCCAGCAGAGCAGGCCCAGCAGCTAGGGCACTGCTTCTAGTAGTCTGTAGTGCAGATGCTAACCCAGAGAGAGATAGGAAGATAGAAAAGAAGCATGGAGGAGGTGTGCTGTCAGTGCGCTGACAGAATGAGTAATTTTTGATACATCTGTTGTTAGAACTGTGAACTTCTGGGCAGGTTGGGTATGTGAGCCCTATCCAGTTGCATAGGCTGAATACCACCACCACTTTGAAGAATTCTTGAGGGCCTTGACGTGTCCCTTTGGCTTTAATTAATTGATGCAACAATTCACATTGTCTTTGGGAGAGATTCCCTTCAAAGGCAAAGGATTTTGAAGAGTGATCCTGATTCCCAGGGGGCCAATTACTTCATTTTCCTCTGAAGCTTTTTAAAAAAGTATTTTCTATGGATGTAAATTGCATTTAGAAGTAGTTTCAGAGATGGTTAGGAAGCAGCTAAGCTTATACATGTAAGCTGACAAGTTAAGGTAAGACTTTTGGTTGGAATTTACAATTGGAGCTCTTGCATCTTAAGTGTTAAACCAAGTTAAACCCAATGATGTTTGCAGTTATTCATAATAATCTTCTAATCATACCCAGTACAGCACTTGGAAGTAATTGGGAACAACAGACATGATTACAAGTTAAAATGCCTTACAAGTTAAAAAAAAAAGAAAAAAAAAAGAACCTGCCTTGCCCCAATTAATTAACGAACTACTTCAGTCACAACTAAAATAGAATATACACAAAAATAGAAATTTAGAAACCTAGTCTGCCACTCTACAGTGAAGATGGTGGAAAAATCTAGAACTTTTAATCTTTTAAAGTCTTTACAGGAGGAAGGCACTTTGAGAAGGGTTTTGAAAGAAGAGGGAAGCTGTCTGGCAAGTTCTCTGAAAACTGGTATGAAGGAGACCATTCTAGATGTAAAGAAACAGGAAAAAAATGCAGCAAGGGGGAAATGAGCTTATGACAAAGACATTTCTTTTTTTTAAACAATGTTTTTGTAGGTATAAATTTATGCAGAAGAACCAAATTATAAAATAATATCCCTTCTCTGAAAGAAAATGCCGCAAAATTAAAACTAGCAGATGTGGAAGATCTTCACAGTCAAATTGTCAGGGTGAGGAAACTCTAGGTTGAAGGGCACTAGTATTTGCTATGCCTCCCTGGTGTGTGGCTGCCACTAGGCAGTTTAACATAAGTCTTTTGATGTGCTGCAGAGCATTCTTGGCACAAAAGTTCAATCCTGAAAATGGCTCCAGGTTATCCAAACTACTTATGTTTGGAAGGACTCATATATTTTATTATGGAGGGTAACTATTTTAAATGCTAAGAACAGCCCCCCCAGTGTTTTTTGTTTTGCTGCAGATGTATCAAAGAAAGAAACATCTGTCAACTCTGAAAACTATAGGCTGGACCACATAGTTCCCAGATCACATTTGCAAAAAGATACAGATGGATCTTGAACAGCTCCCTCCTTACTCACCACAGCTTTTAGATTTCCTAAGGCTTGCAGCATTTTCCGAAGGAAGACAGCATAACTCATTATCTGTTCTGTACTTGATGTAGATTGACATTTAGTTTTTTTGTTTTCTTAGTAATAATAGATTTTTTAAATTATTATTTTCTGTTTCTGTTCTGTTAATGTGTTTCCTGGCACAATCTCTACTCTTCTTCTTAATGAAGGTATAAGCTATTTTCCTTGCATTAATGAAGGCCCTTTAAGCTATATTGGCAGTGTGTGTGCGCGCGCACGTGTGTGTGTGTGCATGTGTGCACATATGCATGCATGTGTATGCGTGCATGTGTGTATGTGTGCGTGTGTGTGTATTCATTATACCAGCAGAACAGATAAAATCAGTTATTTTTTACTTTACCTGTTTAGTTCTCATTTTGGAATCTGGTGACAAATTGTTGTAAGTATAATGAGCCTGCGTGACTCCACAAAAAAGGACTGCAACAATTCCTGAAATTCAAAGAAAGGCCAGTGTTAGCTGCTTCTATATTTTTTCTTACAGTAATCAGGGGGTAGGATCAGTGTACACAAAAAAACTAATTTGACTGTATTAAAAGCTTTTTGTAATAGGGAAATGGTACAGTATATTTTATAATAACATTTTTCAAGTCAGTTAGAATTTGCTTTAATAAAAATCATAGCTGGTCTTTAATTCTCCACTCTCCCCCCACAAAATGAAATCCAGGTATTTTATTTGCCATCTATGGAAAATATAGAATAATAAAACACGATAATCTTATATAAAATCCCTGATCACAATATGACTGACACTTATCCAATACTATAAAACAATTTTAAAATAAAAACAGAAAGTAATAAAATCATGGCATTGGACACAAAGCAAGGAGAAAAAAAATCTTAATTTTACTTCTTCTGAATGCAGTTTTAAACAGTGGGTATGAATGAGTGCACCATGTGAAGGTGATTTGGCTTCTGCATGACTGTTTGTTTTATTATAAGCAGCATGTAACCTGCAAGGCAAACAAATAGTGCTTAAGAAACCATTCCAGTGGGGACAAGTTGTGTCTCCCAGAATGACTGGGTCAGTGACTGTAACCAAGTGGCAGTAATTATCTTTCCCCAGCCTGTGGAAGGTCAGGAGGAGAGAGCAGGAGGAGTAGCTTTGACAGGAATATAATCATATCACCTTATATTATTTTATTTTCAAAGTATCTCTTCCTCTCCTCTCTCCCTGCCTCTAGAATGCTCACAGCCATTGAACAACATATAGTAAATGCAGTATTATGATTAAAATAATCAAACTCATTAAATATCCTATTAACATTGGATATAGATAAACCAAGGGGATCATACTCAGGGGAAGAAAGGAAAAAAAATGAGAAGAGGTCAGTAGTGACTATAAAAAATCTCAGGAAAATTAAGCTTTGCGTTGTTTTATCTTAGATCCTGCTTTGATAGGCAAGAGTTCAGGCTCATGCTCATTGAAAGCCCCTGTCTTCATATCCTGGGGACAATAAAGCCCAAGCCTGAAAGTTTTACTCAGGGTTCAGGTATGAACCAATTTGCAGTGCAGACATAAACTAAGGCCTTTAGACAGGCTGTTTTCTACCCTTTCTGCACACCACCTACACTCTCTTCTACCTGGAAGCAGGGTGGCACTTTCCTAACTCCATCTGATGTTTAACCCCTCACTTTCCTCACAGACTTCTCCAGACCAACAGATAACTGGCAGTTATTTGGGGCAGAGGGCCACTCAGGGAGTTTTGATGAGCTGTTGCAAGCTGGGTCATCACCTCCCCACAACAGCTCACTTTGGGGGCCCTTGCTGGAAGAGCCTAAGTGATTCTGCTCCATGCTGGACCAGGCAGCTGGGATGGGGCTACAGGTGGGTGGGGAGCGGCATCTGGGAATGGGATGGTCGGGTGGGGCCAGGGCTAGGATCACGGGGTCAGGGCTGAAGCCTAGGGCAGAGCCGTGATCTGCTCCCTGCATGGCCCTGTGATGGGCACTGGTTCCGCAGGCAGTGGCATATGGGGAGCTGATTGCGGCTGTGTTCTGGACCCTGGCTCCTCGCTGTCACAGCCTTGCAACTCTGGGGTCTCCATGGAGGCAAGCCAGGACCTGTGCAGATCCGGTCTGCAGCTGGGCAGATGGGATGGGACTGCGAGGGTGTGGGGAGCTGCATCTGGGAGCAGGACAGGCAGGCAGAGGTCAGGGCTGGGATCTTGGAGCAGTAACAGCACAAGGCTGGGACTTGGGGCAGAGCTGCAATCCACTCCCAGCATGCCCCTGCCTGCAGAATGAGCACCTGTCGCAGGGACATGTGGACAGTGGATCACAGCTCTGCCTCGGGCCCTGGCCTTGTGCTGTCACCGTCCCATGATTCTGCCATGTGATCCTGGCACCGCCAACCCATCCCAGGTAGCACTCTCTGCCCACCAGTGCCCCCAACCCATCTGGCATGGGTCTCACCCCCAGCAGTGGGTGCAGGGCAGATGGGCTGGAGTGCCTGTGCAGCTGGGCCCAGTCTGGTGGTGGCAGTGGCAGCTAGAAGGAGCTGCTGCTGCTGGAGCTGCTAGAAAGTGAGTCTGGATGCCACACTGCCCCAATCCCGCTGCATGCCTGAGACAGAGAGACCTGCTGTGAGCTGGACAAAATCCCATAGCAGGCTACATCTGGCCCATGGGCCGTATTTTGCCCACCCTGAGATAGAATCATAGAAAATAAGGTTTGCAAGGGGCCTCAGGAAATCATCTAAGCCAACTCCCTGCTCAAAGCAGGACTGTCCACAACTAGATCATCCCCGCCAAGGCTTTGTCTAGCCAGGTCTTAAAAAACTCCAAGGATGAAGATTCCACAACCTCTATGAGTAACCAGTTGCAGTGCTTTGCAACCCTCCTAGTGAGAGAGTTTTTCCTAACATCTAACCTAAACTTCCCCTACTGTTACTTGGTCTGTCATCTGCCACCACTGAGAACAATTTAGCTCCATCCTCTTTGTAATCCCGCTTCAGGTAGTTGAAAGCTGCTATTACATCCCCTATCTTCAGACTAAATAATCCAAGTTCCCTCAGCCTCTTCTCATAAATTTTGTGTAGGACCTGGCTTAAAGCATGGGCCCAGCTCACTAATATTGTGACCTGATTATAGCAGGGGCTGCCTTTTCTGTACCCAGATCATGGTGCCCCCTCCATACTAGAAGTGAAAGTATTATCTAACAAAAATGATTTTCAATACTTGCAAGTCTCTCCCTTTTGTTTCTGGAAATAACTCAAGGAACAGCACCAGAGCCAATGCAATAAAAAGGTATTTTAGGAGAAAAGACTGTAGGTGAACTATGGCACAAAGAATAACTGCCACCAAAGAGAAAATGAAAAAGCAAATCTATTTTCCCACACAGCAATGCAGACATTCTTTTTGCTTCTAGGTTCTCTTTATATTGTAAATTCACTTGACAGTATTTCTACTACAGTATATAGAATCTCTGGAACCACAGGAAATTTTACTGAGCTTTAACTGCTCTTTTTTATTATTTTCTTTCTACACATCACAATGGCTCATCCCCTCAGTAAATAATAGCTGGTCCAAAGCACAAGTGTCATTAGAGAGCAGTGCCTAAGCAAGCACTGGGCATTTACTCTTTATGTTGAACCAAATGGATCTCTGTTCTCTTTTAGCTCTAGGGATCTGTTCTGCATTTCCTCATACAAACTTGGTATAGGAATGTATAAATTCTTAAGGTTAATTATCATTATTAAAGTGTTCTTCTGTACTTTATTTGGTATAAATACATGCTCAGAGAAGAAAATACAGTTTAAAAATTATGGCTAAGTACAATTGTTTCTAAATATTGTTAACTCAGTGTCAGCAATAAAATGGAAATATAAATGTCTTGTTTTTAAATTTATTTTTATTGCATTTTTAATTACTTTTATTTCTTGACAGCGATTATTCAAATTGATTTATAACTACCAAATAAAAGTTACTTATGGGTGGGTTAAGTATCTCTTTGCAAGTTCCTGTGGTAATGTGAGAACTGAGTTGGTGTCATGCATAATAAGGAGCCTGATTCCAGTCTCACACCAAGTGTAAATTGAACCAGTGCAGTTATGTCTGTGTGATACTGGGATAAGTGAGATCAGTATCAACCATATCAACACCGAAAGCTTCTGGTCTGAGCTCCAAAATACTATTCTGCCAAATGGAATTACATAAACTATAGAAAGCTTTATTTCCAAGGGAGATGAGATAAATGTAGCAGGAAATTTATGTTGCTAAAACAAGTCTTGGTGTGTATGACCATAGCTCTTACAATGTAAGATTCATTATAAAGGCTGATAAAAATTATTGTAATATGTCTCTTAAAGAGAGTTGGTGCCCAGTGATATGTTAATACTGCTACAAAGGAAAGAGATGAAAGAAACAGCATAAAAGACAAACGTGGAACTTTACAGTTGGAGGGATAAATTAAATGAGGCCTAGAATTCTTTGGAGAAAGCATTAGAATTGGATTTTAAAGACTGGAAACAGGCTGTCAGAAAAATGCTTTCTTCATTATGCATGGGATGTAAAGTAGGCTATTATAATTTTTTTTACCAAAGACTTATTAGTAGAATTGCCTAATTTTCCATCATGCAGTTTGATGCCAGACTGCTACCACCTTTATAACATGTGTCAAAGATAAAATTATTGCTAATTCTTTCTTCATTAAAAGTTGATGAAACCTTCAGATACTGGAGCCAAAAATGTAAATGCCTGTTTCAGTGAGAATGATTTCCTACCAAATTAAGGGCATACTTCCTGGTTTGTCTACAAATAAAAGTTGTTGGAATTCACTCTGGTAAATAGTCATTAGTGTAATGGAACAGAAACTGTCTTCCTGAAGATATTTTACTGGAAAAGTTAAGTGTAAAGCAAAAAAACCTCAGAACAAAACAAGACCCCCCCCCCCCAAACCTGATAATCAAATAGTGATAGCTATGTGAACCATATCTGTTAGCAGGTAGCTAAACTCCAGCTTTACCACCTTTTTGATAATAGATAAAAAAGAAATTGAGGTCTAGGAGTATGGCTACATTTCTTCTCTTCTCCTCTAGGCTAGGGACAGAAGTTACACATAAGCTGGTTTAAGTGATCAGAAACTGGTTTATACCTGTAACAGAATAGAAGTTCAGTGCACATTAACCAGTTTCAAAGTGGCTGAAACTAGTTTAAAAACAAAGCTGGTTGAGTGTAGTATCAGACTTAACTGATTTAGGTTAAACCAGTTTATGAAACTTCTGTCCCAGACCCCTTCTTGGTTCAAGTTAAATCAGTCCTCCAGCATCCCATCATTTTGCAGCTCTGCGCTGGTCTGGGCTGTGTGTTCCAGAGAGCAGGACTGGCCTTGCTTCTCTGCTCCCTAGCTGGAACAGTGAGGGCTGGCTCACTGGCCTCCCCCTCACTCCCCCAAGCAAACCCCTACTGGGGCCTGGGGCCAGGGAGGGGGGT